AATCGTATGCCTACAAGAAAAGTTATTAGACAATTAAGTTCTCATAGCAAGCACACACTGCAGACCATGCGCGTTTAGGCGTGGGTGCTTGTGTACGTGTATGTGTGTGTGTGTATGTGTGTGTATGCGTGTGTGTGCGTGTGTGTGTGCGTGTGTCTTCTGTAAACAGAAAGAAGCAAAAAATGATTGAAATATCTATTGCTCGAAGGGTTCAGGGGATCTCGTAGTCGAGTAGTCTTGACTACAGCTTTCTTACTTGTTATTTCATATTCTTTGCTCTTTTTACTATTTCTTGCAATATTGGTAATGTTTTACTTTTTCTTTACTAATACTTTTACCTTAAGATTTATTATAATTGTAATTATATTAACTATAGTTAAGCTCTTTTAATATCTAATTTTAATTTTTCCATTTTACACTGTCTTTTCATAGTTTCAATAGTATCACTGACCACATTTGTCTGTGAAGTGGGGCATAGCCGGCCGGCAAATAAAATACCCCCATCGGGTTGGTGATACTATTGTTATAATGTGTTGTACTTTTTATAGGCTATTTTAATTTTAGTTGACTCTAGTTTTGTCAATATCTTTATATAAATAAATAAATTTGCCAAAGCACAAGTCTCTAGTATTTGAAATACGCCTTTTACAAATTTGATGGTGAGGAGGTGAATTAGAGGTGGGGGGTAAATTTTGAAAAAAAGCGAAATTGTATAAAATGCATCTTATACATATAAAGTTAGGAGAGTCTAACTTTAAAGATGTAGGAGATATAAATTTATTACTGGTTTTAGATAATGTTTTTTATCGATAGCAAGTTATTTAAACCAAACTCGATATGCGCGTGCTATACACGAACCTAGGAAAAACAAGTAAGAAGGCTCCAGTCGAGACTGCTCGACTAGGAGATACCCTGAACCCTCCAAGCTGATATTCTAATCATTCTGCACTTCTTCTATGTACACATACATACACATGCACTTATAAGCACGCCCTCTGCTAACTGCGCAGTAAGCAGCGGCTGCGCTTGGGCTGCGCTGCAATGTGTGCAATATTATGACAATTTATTTGTGGAATAATTTCTTTTGTAGACATACAATCTTAATGAAACTTTCAGAGTGTAATCATATGGTTAAAATGTGTTCATGCACATGCATGAACATAGAAATATGATAAGTAGGGGAACGTACGCGCTATGCACTCGACAGCTAGCATAAAATAAATAACATATGTTTCAAGTGTGAACTGTCAAACTGGGCATAAATTATGACCCTGACCCTTAGCGATTAGAATACGGTAGAGGCGAGCGCTGAGCATTACAAACTCAGCGATAGCATAAGAATAGCTAATAAACCAATGCGGAGTCTTACAAACTACGCGATAAGTTAATAATATGTAATAGACCAATGCTGAGCCTTACACACTCAGCAATAGAAGCACTAGATTTAATGGTTGAAATTATACATGAGTCTGGGTATAAAAACCCGGGCCCAGCAGAATAAAGAATCAATACGAAACTAAACACCAACATAGTAAAGTGTATTCGTTCAAATGTGTGTACATTTCAAAGCACAAGTCTCTAGTACTTGAAATGGTGGCGAAGGGGGCGTGGTATCCAAAATCTGTAAATTACAAAATCTTTGCGTCCATTAACTCTATATACAACGCAAATTTGAAGTCTCCAGGTTTAAAAGTGTTCAAACTAGGCTGAAAAAAACCAAGTCGATTTTTCGATTATTCTCGATAAAAAAAGTTATCGGATGAGTTATCGAAAAAATAAAGCAAACTCGTACTGCCTATGGTATACACGAATATGCATGCCAAATTTCAGCTCTCTAGCTTGTGAGGAGCAATATAGGTATGCACGTATGAGTGTATATGAACGTACGTATTTGCTCTGCGTTTATATGCATATACGTGCATATACATGTTACTCCACACAGCGACGCGAATACTGTAGGAGCGACCCTCGCACTGGAAAGGGGGTCAAAGTCCTGTTAGAGGCGGTCTCTTTCGCTCCTACAGATTCAGCAATGGGTTCGCGTCGCGCGCACGACGATCATCGGGGACCGTTAGCCGAGGTGCCGTTCGGACCGGGTGATAGCAGTGAACATTTTCACTCGCATGGCAACAACGGTACTTCGGCCAATGGGAGGCTGCCACGCAATTTGGCGGGAAAGTGGCGTCACCCAGATCACGCCACTTTACCGTTTTTATGGGCACGAGCAACAGAAAGGCCCCGCTCCAGAGCCGAACAGGCCCCGTTACCACACGAAGCAGAGCCTGTGGCTGGGGTATAAAAGGTAAATCAGGACTCCCAGGACATCGTGGAAACAGCAAGGACATTGTGGGAACAGCAAGGACATCCAGAGGGAATACCTAAATTCACAAGTGACTAATTAATATCGCAGGGGCTTCAACAAATAAATTTGTTTGCACGAATCCACAGTCAGCTGAAACTAGCCCAGCTTAGACTCGGGATAAACCGAAGGTTCGTTACAAGCTCTTATATCTTCTGAGATCCTTTTGCTCATACGGACGGACAGACGGACAGGGCTATATCGACTCAGCTCGTCGTCCTGATCAAGAATATATATACTTTATGGGGTCTGCGATGATTCCTTCTGCCTGTTACATACATTTCAACAAAACCATTATACTCTGATTTCCCATTGAAAATGGGTTCAGGGTATAAAAATTTCTCTAGCTCTTATATCTTCTGAGATCGACGCGTTCAAACATACGGACAGACGAACGGACGGGTGGACAGACGGACAGGGCCAAATCAACTCAGCTCGTCGCCCTGATCAAGAATATATATACTTTGTGGGGTCTGCCACGCCTCTTTCGGCCTATTACAACAAAACCATTATACCCTGATTTCCAGAGCTCGCAAATGAGAGTTGATCGTTTTTCGTATATGCTCTGCTTCGTATCATAACCGAAAAGCTTATGCAGACACGATCTCGTTCTGAGCGACACTCCTTATTTTCTTTTGAATCTGTTTCGGTCAGACGCATTGCAATGACTCATTCGTGTGACGCTCGCAAATAAGTGTCGCGTAAAAACTAATACGATTTTCGGTTACACAAAGACTCTCAGCAAAACATAGTTTGACTAAAAAACTCAACAAAAATGACCTTTGCCTTCGTGTGCATGTAAATACATGCATACATACATACATAAAAGAACGCAACAATCGTGTGTAATTACCCATACAAACTTAACTGACAGTTTGCTTCATTTGATTCAAGCAAACGATCAGTGTTTGACTTGAGCTCACAGGGCGTGAGCAGACTTAAGCCAGACGCGACAAAAACAGTTTCTGCCTGAGTTTTTTTGATTGTGTCAGTGAAAGACACTTATTTGCAGACAACGAAAAAGTGTTAACAGTTATTTGCAAGTAAGAAAGCTCTGGTCGAGACTGCTCGACTACGAGATCCCCTGAACCCTTCGAGCAATAGCTATTTCAATCATTTTTCGCGTCTATCTGCTGGCACAAGTTACACATACACACGCATACACACACACACAGAAATACGCACACACGCATAAACACGCATTGGCTGCAGTGGTGGCTTACTATGGGAACTTAATTGTATAATAACTTTAGTGTAAAGCGTTTTGCACACTTTTTTTCGGGAGTTATTAAATAAAGGCGTGCCTCTTCAATTAAAACCCAAAATCGTTCACACCATTAAAAGTTGAGGTAGGCACACGCCAATGTTCATCTCCCATGCATACAAACAAAGATATACACACACGCACATGTAAAGGCACACAGGCATACAAATGTTTCTACAAGTTATATCCCATAATTGTGAGCAGCGCATCCCATGCGTACACACAATCAATTGTATATACATACATACATACATACATATGTATGTGAGCACTCCACAAGATCGACCAAATGCAAATGCCTGGGCTTTAAAATTGCTACAGGCAGCAAGAGCCTCGCACACAGGCATACAAATGCTCATAGTACATGTAGCAAGGGACGATTTGAAGAGTTAGGTATACTCTTCACACAGAAGGGAAGAAACGGGAGTGTAACGCGACAAAGTATGAATTTTCGTGAGCTGCTGCTTGTGCTCACATGCATACATACATATACATATTAGAGAGAGCAGAAAGCAGAGAGAGACACACAGAGAACAAGAAAAAATTGAGCATATTGGCTTCTTTTGTTCAACATTTGACCATCTCGGTCGAGCGCATGAAGCGAAATGATTGTGCTTTCGTATCATTCACTCATTCAGTCTCAATTCGAATGCACTATATTTTTCTAGGCTATGAGTGCGGCCATGCAGCTCTCTAGTACATACCTACATATGTTTCCATAGACTGTAAGTGTGTGTGTGCTTGCCCGTAACGAAATCATATTGTTTATGCGCATCAACGCTTCAGTCCTTTCCCACGAATTACCATCGATATGCTTGTTTGCATGAGCGTTGCAAACGATTTTAAGATTTAGATATACACTTCACTCAAAAGGAAAGAGCTGGGATCGTCGCGAACAAATTTCGATAGAGTAAGAGAGAATAGGACAAATAGCGCATAGCTGTGCTTCCTATAAGAATGCAACCATTTCGTTTGAGCGCTTGCAGCGCTCTTACATTGTCGTGCAGTATTTTCACTGCTCGAGCCTCCAGGGAAGTATAATGGTCCATTAATTTAATATTAACATGTGTTACTTGGTTAGTACAACTATTAACGCTATTAATAAAATTATGTTAATAGCATAATTCCAGCTAGATCTCCTACTGGTTATTGGTACTTAGCGTCCCGTTGAGTACTTCGTGTCTCAATCCTTTGGTCAATTGCCACTTGCCTTTACTGGTATTGACACTCTATATCATACAATTAATACGAAAGACACAGCCATCTTCCTAGTAATGACGAGGAACTTACAAGCAGGGCGGCGCCATCACTACAACAATAACCATAATTATGACTTACCAAATCAACCTAATGTTTTGGATAAGAAACGATTGAAACTAATTTTTGCAAGCAATATTATTACATTTTTATTTGAACAAGTGTGATGGTGTGACAAAGAAATTTGGTAATGATTATTTTGTTTACCATTGCTTTCCTCGAAAATTAAGCTAGTAAGTAGATAATGAAAGTTGGTTTAAATTGTATTGCTCATGATTCCGTCAGGTTCCTCCGCAAGGTAAACTTTGTATCGAATTGGATTGAAATTGTCCACAAGACTTCAGCTCAGTAAATACTTCCGTGAAGAATGCTGGCTCTGCATTTATTTTCAGCATCTTATTACTTAGCCTGTTTACAATGAATAAACATCTGAAAAAACATACACAGATTTATAAATAAAATAGTTATTCATTATACCCCGAACCCATGGCAAATGGGAGATCAGGGTATAACGGTTTTGTTTAAAAGTATGTAACAGGCGTGGCAGACCCCACAAATATATATTCTTGATCAGGGCGACGAGCTGATTCGATTTGGCCCTCCATCTCAGAAGATATAAGAGCTACAGACTTCAAATCTTTTAAAATGTCCGTATATGCAGCGCGGATATCGAGTTTATCACCAACAAGTAAGAAAGCTCTAGTCGAGACAACTCGACTACGAGATCCCCTGAACCCTTGGAGTAATAGCTATTTCAATAATTTTTCGCGTCTTTCAGCTTACACAAGAAACACGCACATACACACACACACGAACGCACGCACACACACACAGGCATACATACACACACATACATACACACAAACACACACACACACACACACACATACACAAACAATTACATACATATACACACACAAGCATAAACACGCATGGCCGGCAGTGAGCGCTTACTATGAGAACTTAATTGCTTAATAACTTTTTTGTGGACGTACGATCATCATGAAACTTTCAGATTATGATTATGACATGGATATGCATGTAATTGCCAAAGCACAAGTCTCTAGTATTTGAAATACGCTTTTAAAAAAGTGAGGGTGAGGGGGTGAATTTAAGGGGGTAAATTTTAACAAAAACCGAAATTGTATAAATTGCATATAAGCATACATTAAAAATTTGGAGACTCTAGCAATAAAGGTGTAGAAGATATAATTTTATAACTGGTTTTCGATAAGGTTTTTATCGATAAAAAAAGATCGGGATGAGTTATCGATTTTTAATGATAAACTTGATATGCGCGCTGTAATTACGAACATTGTAAAAAAATTTGAAGTCTCTAGCTCTTATATCTTCTGAAATCGACGCGTTCATACATACGGACAGACGGACAGACGGACAGACGGACGGACGGACAGACGGACAGACGGACAGACAGACGGACAGGGCCAAATCAACTCAGCTCGTCGCCCTGATCAAGAATATATATACTTTGTGGGGTCTGCCACGCTTCCTTCTGCCTGTTACATACATTTCAACAAAACCATTATACCCTGATTTCCCATTGAAAATGGGTTCAGGGTATAAAAATGATAACTCATCCCTTTATATTTTTATCGATAAAAAACCTTATTGAAAATCTGTTATAATATTATATCTCCTACATTTTTAGAGCTAGAGCTTCCAAATTTTAAATATATACTTATATGCATTTTATACAATTTCGACTTTTGTTAAAATTTATCCCCACCCCTATATCCACCCCCTCACCCTTACTTTTGTAAAAGGCGTATTTCAAATACTAGAGACTTGTGCTTTGGCAAATGCTTGCACGTCCATGTTATTTTCATAATCTGAAAGTTTCATGGAAAAAGTACATCCACAAGAAAAGTTATTAAGCAATTAAGTTCCCACAGTAAGTCACCACTGCAGCCAATGCGTGTTTATGCGTGCGTGCGTATTTATGTGTGTGTGTGCGTGTGCATATGCGAATAATTATAGAAATATCAGTTGCTCGAAGAGCTCAAGGGATCTCGTAGTCAAGCAGTCTCAAATAGAGCTTTCATACTTGTTTTTTTTTTTTTTTTTTTTTTTTATCGAAACAACAGAAAACCGGGGCAATTTCGTGTCAGGTCAGGACACCGGGACATAACCTCCAAAAGCAGGACGTGTTATGATATTGCATTTATGTATGTCCCCGAAATTCAACTAAGGGCAATCCTTTTTTCTATGTTATGCATGTTGGTATTGGAAGTTATATAAGAGCGTGTATGTATTTGCCAAAGCACAAGTGTGTAGCATTTGAAATACGCCTTTTACAAATGTGAGGGTGAGGGGGTGAATTAGGGGTGGGGGGTAAATTTTGACAAAAACCGAAATTGTATAAAATACATATAAGTATACATATAATTTTTTAAATTTGGAGAATCTACCTTTAAAGATGTAAAAGATATAAATTTATTACTGGTCGATACTACTATCGATAATGTATTTAATCGATAACAAAAAAACGGGGCTAGTTATCGGACCTAGGAAAAAAAATTTCAAGTCTCTAGCTCTTATATCTTCTGAGATCGACGCGTTCAAACACACGGACAGACGGACGGACGGACAGGGCTATATATACTATATTCTATATACTTTATGGGGTCTGCCACGCCTCCTTCTGCCTATCACATACATTTAACAAAACCATTATACCCTGATTTCCCATTGAAAATCGGTTCAGGGTATAACAAGTAAGAACGTTGCAGTCGGGCGATACCGATTGCAGAATCCTCATTCAGAGCCCAAACGCTGTCAACCAGAGTATATAGTGCAATTTTCAAGTCTAGTGCGCAACGAAAAACAGGGCTTGATCCCATTAAAATTGGAAAATCATCGATAGTTATTGCAATCATCATTGCATCATTGCAGCTAGGATCTTCAAATTATCATTTATACAATTTTGATTTTTATTACATATATTTATATACAAATCTTGGATACAGGCTTCTAGCTAGCAGCAGTTCAGCGCGATTTTTCTTTACATGTGCATACACTCATCGTGTGCTCTATGCGTACAGACAGAAGCGTGCCTTTTCGCACATTCTCAGAATTTAGATTGATTTCTGGCCTTTCTAGCCGTTGCGATAGTTTTTCAGATGACGCCCTGTTATTAAGCTATTCTATTTTAGCAACTGGCTGATCAAGCAAAGCAGTAGCGCGGGTGATAAGGCGAAGTGCACTTGTCACTTTAGTTAGTCAGCTATTTAAATATAAGCGCGCCTCTTCAATTAAAAACAAAAATCGTTCACACCATTAAAAGCTGAGGTAGGCACACGCCAATGTTCATCTCCCATGCATACAAACAAAGATATACACACACGCACTTGTAAAGGCACACAGGCACACAAATGTGACAAATGTGTGTGTATGTGAGCACTTCACAAGATCGACCAAATGCAAATGCTGGACTGTAAAATTGCTACAGGCAGCAAGAGCTCATGAGCTCATATGCTCATAGTACATGTCGCATACTGTAAGTGTGTGTGTGCATGCTCGTCGCGAAAACATTTTCATTATGCGCACCAACGCTTTCATACCCTTCCCACAAATAATAACGAAAACGCATGGCAAACGGTTTAAAAAGTTCGGTATACTCTTCACACAGAAGGGAAGGCAAGGGTTCTCGCTGCGAAGAAATTTCAATTTTTGTGAGCGCTGCTTGTGCTCAAATGCATACATACATATACATATTCAGCGCAAAGGGATCTTTTGTTCAACAATCGACCATCTCGGTCGAGCGCATGAAGCGAAATGATTGTGCTTTCGTATTTTTTTGTAGCCCGAACCCAAAAAGTGAGGAGCCGAGCAAATACGAAGTGTCTGGGAGATAACTCCCGAAAAAAAGTGTGCAAAACGCTTTACACTACTTGTCCGTTCTATGTGTTCTCTGGTTAGTGGTTCTTACAAATGAATAAATTTTCAATAATTTCGATCATACATCCAGCAAAAAATGATTCGTGCAATTTTGTCTAAGAATCCAATACAATAGTAATCGGATATTTATGTGATGGTTGTATATCTAATAAAATATATATTGTATTACATATGGATAAAATTGGATGCATCATCCTCAGAAGCGGTGGGCAAAAATCTAGTAGTACTAGCAGCAGCAGTGGAAGACTTAGAATTAACAAAGTGCGCCACAGTAGAACGCTAAGCAGAGGCGCCATCTTAAATGTACATAATATAATAAAAAACACACTTGCACATACTGTAAGTGTGTGTGTGCATCAGTTTTCTGCTTAATTGATGGCTTTAAAAATTTATCCATACATTCTTCTTACGAAGAACCACCAAATATCATTGAAATATAGCTTAAAACGCTAATCACAATATAATAATATTATTAACTTAATGTTTATATATACATATATATGTTATGTTATACATGTATATTCCGGAAAATGCTTATATGCGTCTCTTCGCGCCATCTAGTAGTAAATTATCGATGGATGAAAAAGACCATCGATATATCTTGAGAGCCCAAATCCATCGATACTATCAATAGCCTCCATCGAGGGATTTGCAGCCCTACTCAAAACCTGTATACCGAGATCTCCTGAACCCTACGAGCAATAGCTATTTCAATCACACATACACGCATACACACACACACACACATACACGCACGCAAGCACCCACGCCTAAGCAAATATGGGCTGCAGTGTGCGCTTACTATGGGAACTTAATTGTTTAATAACTTTTTTTGTGGATGTACTCTCTTCATGAAACTTTCAGCTCAAAAGGTGTAGGAGATATAAATAAAAACCCAGCTTTCGATAAGGGTTTTAGTCGATAATAAAATATCGGGAGTAGTTATCGATATTTAGAAAAAAAAAACTCGATATGCGCGTGATATACACGAACCGAGATCGACGCGTTCACACTGTAACGAACCTTCGGTTTATCCGTAGGCTAAGTTGGAGTAGTTTCAGCTGACTGTGGATTCGTGCCAACAAATTTATTCGTAAAGTATATTTTCTTGAAAAGGTTTTATAAATTTTACACTTCACTTAGAATATAACTTATAAGATGCTTCGCTTTCGTAAAGTACACCTGCTGAGTACTGGTTCAGCGTACTCCGGCTGGGAGAATGTTGTGCTAAGACACGCTAGTTTCACTTGAGCGATTCGGAAAATGCCTGGATCTGGATCAGTGAAATCCGGCAGATCGCTCGGCTATAAGGACCTCCCCACTCGCTCACAGCACAACACTTCTCTTGCGCACGGCTACGTGAACTTACTTAGATATGCAGGCCTCGCTTAAGCTGCTGCTGTTGTCCATTTCCGCACCAATGTCCTTGTTGGTGCCGCTGACGATCCTGGTTGCCTCTTTAGTCGTCGCAAGGATTTCCACTAGATGTCCTTGTTGTTCCCACGATGTCC